TAACGCTCCCCTCCAATCCCGTTCCTTGTTTTGGCTTATTTAAACTATTGATTTTTCATTCATGTCAGGTTAATACTAAAATAGCTGAGCAGCCGTTATTTATGCAAGATAAACTTAAATAAAACAGCACAAGGAAGACAGGTTTCATGTTTAATGCATTTTTTTATTGGACCACACTTCTCTCCCCTCTGATGAATGAAGGACACTACTTAAATTAACAAAGTCAGCTCATCACACACACGTCTGGTTCGCTATCTTTGTGGGGACTCTCCATAGGCATAATGATTTTTATACTATACAAAATGTATATTCTGTCCCCTTACACTAACCCTACCCCTAAACCAACCCATCACAGGAGACATTCTGCATTTTTACATTTTCAAAAAACATTACTTAGTATGATTTAAAAGCTGTTTTCCTCATGGGGACCGCTGGCTGGTCCCCACAATGTAGGTGATCTCAGGTTTTACTATACTTGTGGGGACATTTGGTCCCCATGTAATATAAACAAGGGCACACACACATTAATAACAGATATTGAAATATAACAGCATTAATGTAAAATCAAGGAGTTCAAAATACTAATTTCCAATATCAAATTTGTAACTTTAAAACATTTAATCCCACTGCGTTTTTGAGGTCTATGTTGTCTGCCTGTTCGCCCTCTGGCTTCGGCCACCATCCCTATCAGAGGCTGCAGCCACCTGGTGATGAGGAGCTCTATTTCCTTTTCTGTAGAGTCTTTGGTCAGGGCATTCCGGCGGACTGCATCTGAGAAAAACACAAGATAGGAGAGGGCAGCATGACCATGTGATGTTACTCTGCAACCACCAAAACTTAATTTGGATGCAAGGCTCTCCTCTACACTTACATTTCTTTTTAATTTAAAAAGTTTAGGAGCACAGTCAAACATTTAGGAGCACCTGATGTGACCTGATCTGAAAAATGACAAATTAACCTTCCCATTATAAGGTGATTTATATTTGACGGGTTCGTACAGACTCTGTCATTATGAAATTCCAGGACTTTCAAGGACGTAAAGCACTACTGTTTTGGATTTCACGGACTTCAATCAGCACTTATCAAACAATATCTTATTTTATTTATTTTATTTTTTTACTCAAATTACATATGGTATCTGATGTTTCACTTCATAGAGATCAATCCATTGACCAGCGCTGTCAGGCATGGGAAATTTGCCTGGCTGCGCCCTCCTACGCACTTCCGCTCAATTTCATTTTCCTTCAGTACTACGTCTGGGACTGCTGTATATTCTTAGGTTTCCAGAAATCAATTTTTTGTAGGACCAATCAGCGAACAGAGGGAGTGGCTGAGAACGATGATGGTTGACAAATGAAACTTTTGAGGAAAAATACAATACGGAGATGTTACATACAGCACAATTTTTAAGAAACAAACATCAAAATTCAAGACCTTTTAAAGTCTTTTTAAGGTATTATTTCCAAATTAATAAATTCAATGCTTTTAAGGCTTTTTAAGGCCCCGCGAGAACCCTGTTAGTTATTTAAGGAATATAGCATGAGTGAGAGTGGGGACTGACTTTTAGGAATGATCTGATTAATGTATAAATTAACTCACCAGATTTTTCCTCTCCTCTGGATTCTTTAATGTCTCCTCCAAACATTGTAGCTCCTCAATAGTTGAAAGTGGCGGGAGCCCAAAATGTGTTGGGTCTGGCGTGAAGTCTGGAACTCCTTGACTGCTGGAGATTTTTTGGAAATGCACCAGGATGAGCAACTGCTGCTCTGATAGAATCGAGCTGAATGAGGATCTCCTTGGCAATTGCTGTAAGACAAGAAAAAGCAGGCATAGCAGATTAGTAGCAAAACATTATATGTAGATATGTCAGAGTAAACCGAGAAAGATCACTTTGTAGAATTCCTACCTGTAGGCACAGCCTCTCGAGAAGACCTGTTCTGTGTGTCATGTACTTGTGGGGTGTTCTAAAATAAAAAAGCCACAAATATGTTACAAGACATGTAAATTTACATTACAGTAAGATATTGCACGTTGTGCATTGGAAGCACTTATTTTAACAGATATCTGTTTTGTATAGCTAACTCTGTAAAACAGAAAGCAAACTTTTATATATATATATATATTTTATTCATTTTTACAGAAGTTGTAACGTTAGCATATTCCTTTTGTAAAGCTACAGAACATGTTTGATTCATCAATGTTTTGTAAGTTTGAGCCATGTGTTTATTAAGGTCTGAAATAAAACTGAAAACTGAAAAAAATATTCCCAGCACTTTCTGTGATGTAGTATGCTTGCTTAGCATAGGAAGTAATAAGAAATTACTCTTTACATTAAGGGAGATTAAGTGAGAACAGGGTGTTTGGGGAATCACTTTTTTCATCGCATACAATTGCATAAATATTCCACATATTCCGTCGCATTTTTTAAGAAAACGTGCCGCATAATTAAGGATTTTTGCCCGCAACAAATCACAAAAAAAACTCTGCATTTTTCTGGAAGGACAGGTTAAATGTTACTATAGTGCATACGTTACTTCAGTTTGCACCATAAAACTACAACTATAGGCCAATTCACACCGCACAGACAAACGCCAGCAAACATGTTATGAAAAATAAGCCAACAGCCACCGACAAATTCGAGCACCCACGGAAAAACACGAGATATTGCCCATTCATTTTAACCACTACAAGTAAAAGATTGCAGCTTTCAGACACGACTTTCTTCTCGATATTGTTAAATGTCGAAAGTGCATCTGTTACAGGCCCCGCGCAAAAGGCCATTAAATGCATTTCACCACCACGTCATGTCACAGCGTTCACAAAATGGCGTACGGTCTGCACATATTCAATATCTTCACAACCCAGAACATTAATACACAAAATATTTGCAGCATGAACATACATCGGAATTACAGGACTCGTCTGCATATTAAGTTTTTATCATACCTGTAAAAACAGGAGCAAACGTGTCAGAGTAAGCATACTGCGAGGGCGCCGGCGCATTACTGCTCCTCTATAAGAGTCCTCAGTTCATTTTCATAATAAGAGTCCCGATCTCACTCAGCAACAGACAATGACCCAGCTTTCAGCATGACTTATACCAAAGTCTCACATCATTCCTCTAATTACAATTTACATAAGTAAAATAAACATTTTCTTACAGGATCAAAATGTGTATACTTTTTGACAATGTTGCCAGTCTGTGCGGTGGGCCTTAATCCAGCTAAAATTTTGTTCCACTTTATTTTCTTCCACAGATCAAAGACTGTGCTCGTAAATATTATTCACGTAAATTGCATTCAATAAAAATGGCGTCTAATGTACTAATTCTGGCTGCAAAGAAGAGCTAACAGCCCAGCTAACGTTAGTCAATGTTAGCTTCGTTCGCGCCATAAAAATCAGAGCCACTTTCATATTAACCTAACTTGCACTACTTAGACATGGTAAACAATTATTGTCCTAATTAATACTTCTTAACTGAATTCTGAATTCTTTCTTTTCGTTTCATCTGGAGGGAAGCATGTCAAAGGACCACGAACAAAGTTTAAACGGATCGATAATAATCAACATTTAATCAGCAACAGTTCGAAATGTAGAGTTAATATAAGAAGTTAAGGGAACTCGATTGAACCTATGCTCGGCGTGAAATGTTGATGCTTGAAATTGAACACAAGACTTACCTCAATAGTTCACCGTAATGGCGCAGAATCGAGAAGGGGTGATTCCAGACCAGGCGTGGAGTTTTATTTCACCCAAAGTTGTGCACACGTCACTCCAGTGATGAGCTGAGCATGCGTGCTGGCGCTTGCTGCAGTAACTAACCGTTGAAATCGGCTTCATACTGGTAAACGGGTCTGAGCCGACCGAGCGCCCAGAGTTTACAGCCGTCGACCGCTGTCAATGGTGGTAAATATTTGAAATAGGCAATAAAATGAAGTGACTTTGCCTAATTGCGGTTGCCACTACTCAGCCAATGCCGCGACTGCGATCACCATGACTGCTGTGCGAGTGATGTCACCTAGCGCGCATGCATGTTTAAAATACATAAAGTAAAGAATGATCTTCATGACAACTAAATATTTTTGCTATGGTTATAAATATTAAAGAATGCTCTGTGTAAAACGACACTATTATTATTATTATTATTACTGCAAAAAATATTAATATTTTGTTTTGGACAAGCATCAGATACGGTCAGGAATTTACGTAAATTTTAAAATAATTTTTATGTTAATTATTGCTTCATTAAAACCATCATTGATTTAATCTGAGTCATTTCCAGAAGTGGTCCAGATCATACAGGCAGAGCCGGGTTACCAGTTATGGTGAACATGAATCGGCCCAGTGCTTTACAGCCGTAACAAAAATGCATGTGCAAGAGCGAGCTGCGGGCCACACTCGGCCCGGTTAACACACGCCGATGCCGAGTCTGAGCCGCAGGCGCCTCGGGCAGCCGAGCTCGGGCCGATTATACATGCTATCTGGGTTGCTAACTCCATCCTGCACAGGTTGCGCAAAGGCGCAAATCGATTGGGCTCGAGTTCTACCAGGTTTTGGAAGAACACCTCGAAATGGGCACCTTTTCATATGTTTCCAAAGAAATCTTTTTTTGAAAAGTCCTTGGCAATTTGCACAATGTAAGAATTTATTTGGATTGACATTTGGAGAACTCGCTTGTTTACATGGAACAATGACACCTTTTCCCTTTCTAATGACATCTACATTGTGTGCTCTGTCCCCCTGTTTCCTTAGTATAGTCAGTTGGAGCTTTCTGTGAAATGGCCTTAGCGACTTCAGATTGATCTTTATGAACGAGTTCCAGATGCCTGGCAATTTTGGATTGTGGTTTCTCACAAAAGAGACAGTAATGTTTTTTGGTGTATCTTCTAGATCCATCGTCAGTCTTTTGACTGTGCATGACTAAGTAAAGTTAAGGAGCTTTTCCCAGATGTGTCAGATTCAGAGTTCCGGTTTCTAGGTCCCTTGTATGTTTTTCTTGTTCCATCTGTAACAGCAGGACTGGCCATGGTGGCAGCATTTTTCTTTAATATACTGCCTCCATCTGAGCTGGTCTCACTTTCACAATCTGAACCTGGCACATATTCATCCTCTGTTATTTCCATGCTGCTTAGTGAGTCTTCAGAATCATATCCAAGCATTTGTTTTTTAAACTGAAATTAATCAGAATTCAGCAAATTTCCTAAATAAAAGGTCTGTGTCACTGAAACAGAACTACAATATCTCCCAATGTCTGTAGAATAAAAGTATTTCCTTCTAACATCCACAAAAAAATACCTTATATTTTAAACTGCTAAAAAAAAATGTAAAAGCAAGCATTTGTTACATGCACGCAATTACTCTAGTTTAATATCTAATTGCATGACTACATGCAAAATTAAATGCAAGTTATCAAGTATGAATGGGTCTAAAGCAGGGATAGGCAACTTCGGTCCTGGAGGGCCACTGTCCTGCAGAGTTTAGCTTCAGCCCTGATAAAAACCTCACCTGCCTGTATCTATCTAATCCTGAAAACATTGATTGCCTTGTGCAGGTGTGTTTAATTAGGGTTGGAGCTAAACTCTGCAGGACAGTGGCCCCCCAGGACCGAAGTTGCCTATCCCTGGTCTAAAGTATCAAACAAACATTGGAAGGGTTGCCTTTTAAACTGTTACGAAAATCAGTCAAGATAAAATTAACAAATTCTTCAAACTTTTATGAACTGTGGCCATCATCTATACTTTCTTACTTTGGGATTGGAGTGGGACACATTCCCATCTTCTGCAGAGCTGGAATCTGTGTCCATGTTGTTTTGGAAGGCAACCTGTAATCAGTAAAACATGACAAATATAAAAGTATTGAGAATTCTACACAAATTATATTATCATGCATATAATGCAATCCCCACTTAGACAAGGTGTCCCCATAAAGACAGTTAAAATACAGATCAATGTCCCCAGAAGGTATCATGCATACAATGCAATCCACCCTTAAACAAGGTGTCCCCATAAAGACAGTTAAAATACAGGTCAATGTCCCCAGAAGGTATCAAATAACATCACACATCGCTTGTTCGTTCTATCCTCAATTTATACATGAGCACAACAGCAAAAATAATACCCTCTACAATTTCATGTTGGCTGATCGTGAGTTGGGGCAATTTCTTGTATAATGCACTCTCATCATGACATTTCAAAAAAATAATCTTACTGTGGTTTTGTCTCTTGCAAAGAGATCATTAGAGACATATTGGTTTAACGTTTATACATTATACCTGTTGTATGCAGAGCAGTACACAATCAAAATATTTCTTGGTGAGTCGAATACCCTTTTAAACCCTGTCACAGTTAAATGTGATCTTCAGACCACAAACTTTCAAGAATAGTGACTTAAAAGGTAGATATTTATGTAACCCTAATTGACAGACTTAGGCAAGTAATTAATGTTGTAACTTACAAATACACTCTCTGTTCTTTCCAGTGGTGGTACACATTCGCTGGTTGAAGGAGATGCATGGTCAATTTCTGACCATACCTGCAATAAAAAATAATTATCATTTGAGGCTATGAAATTACAAAACAGATTAGGCACTTTATTGAGACTGAATAACAGTCTTACAAAACAAAAACAAGGGGAAACAAAGATTTTCCTTTTGCTAGAGTGACATGTGACACAGAAATTCAAATCCGGGAACCAGTTAACACATCTACAGTGTGCTCTGTAAGTATTGGGGCCAACACATATTTTATTGTTTTTGCTCTGTACACAAGCACAGTGGATTTGAAATAAAGACCTGAGGTTATTACCAACTTCTGTTTAGAGAATGTTTCTATCCATCTTCTATGGACAGTGTATGAGGGTAGCCATTTAAATACATGGTCTCCAAATTTAAGCGGACAAAGTGATTAGACAAACAATATTTTAGGAGTTATAATGGTTTTTACTGACGGATGTACCCAATGAACTATATAGGAAAACTGCTGTGGTGCACCTTATAGTTAGCAAAAAACAGTAGCAGGATCATAATAGTTTTTAGTTGTATAAATATTCAAAAATTATATCAGCAAGAAATTACATATCAGTTCCAATGGTTATCCTTAAGAGGACTAGGATTCCATCCTCACTAAGCCAAAGTGTCCCCATAAGGACAGTTAAAATACAGGTCAATGTCCCCAAAAGCTATCATAAATACTCATTACTACCTATTAGGTTAAAGTGCCAACCAAACTTTCAGGTTTGTTTAGAGGGTGTTTGTATCCATCGTTTGTGGTAAGTTGTTTAAAATGTAGAAACCGATATAATTATATAACAATTTGTCAAACATTGTTGCTGGGAAAAAATTATTACTACAATATAATGTATACTGTGCAGCTCTGAAACTAAATGGTTATAAAAAAAAAACTGTTTTATTACTTGTGTGTCTGTTGGTGAGGGTATCACAGAATCTTCTGCTGGTTGAGCAGTGTTGAGCATGTTACTTAAAAAAAGTAATTAGTTATAGTTACTAGTTACTTCTCACAAATAGTAACTGAGTTAGTAACTGAGTTACATCATTATAAAAGTAACTAATTACCAGAGAAAGTAACTATTGCGTTACTTAAAAAAAAAAAAAATCAAATAGGCCTATGTCAAATAGTTTGGATGCCCCCAGTATTAAATATGTTAAATTAATGAAATGGACACTTAGTGTAGATTAGTGTTCAATGTTTTATAATAATAATTTATTCTATTTTAATGTTGCTGTGGGACAATGTGAGAGACGCCTATTAAATTCAATATATTATTCTAAATATTAGCATTACTATAGTAGAACAATAAAACATTATAGATGGTTTATACTTAATATCGCACAGACCCCAACTGGCCAACAAATAAGTTTAAAAATAAATTATGCTTCTTAAGAAATGTACCAAAAATGAATAAATACTAATAAAAAATATACATACTCTTTGTGCATATTAAAATGATAAAACTGTTACACAACTTCACAACTAGTAGACATACTGTAGCCTAAGTATTTTCATCCTAACAAAAGTAAACAGTTTAACAAGTGCTCTCTCAATATAATACTGAACAATTTACCAAAAAAATATATAATACTAAAATATAATATTTTGGGGGTTTATTTTTATAACCTATAGCGAACGTCATCATCAGAGATTATTTAAGCCAAATTCTAGACATGTTTGCCGCACGTGTTTACAACCGGTCAAACAAAGATGTTTTCTGTGAATGTTCCCTGCAGGTTATTTTCGGGTTTATTTTATAACCTAAACAGAACGTTCCCTGAAGGTAATTTTTTAGATTTTATTTGTATAACCATGTAAATTAATTAACGTTGCAGATATGTGTCATTTATTTATAAACAAACTATATAATGCTCGGACATCCTCGGTCTCTCTTGCGCAACTGTTGAGCGCGCTCTCGGACACATTCGGTCTTTCTCGCACATTGAGCGCGCTCGCGCCGTTCATTTCGCTTTTGTCCACTCCGGCGCCTCATAAACACACACACACCAGAGAAAAAAACTTTGCAGGTCCTATGGCGGAGAGAGAGCCTACTCGGATGAAAACCGATTCAGTGAGTTCAATTATAGTAACGCCACATTTTTTTTGCCAGTAACGGTAACTGCGTTGTAACGGGGGAAACAGTAATTCGTTTGATTACTCGTTACTGAAAAAGATAACGCCGTTAGTAACGCCGTTTATTTATAACGCCGTTATTCCCATCACTGTGGTTGAGTGACTGGATGCGATTCTGGGCCCAGCTAAAAGTCAAATAAAAAATGCAATGCTACAGAAAGAGTGTAGAATGATTTTTTAACTAAAGTACATACAATTATAAAATCACTGTTGTTCCCTATCCCTTATGCCTATTAATTACAAACAGTAATGTTTAAAATGTTTTCCATCAAATATATAAATAGCAGTAGGTAAATCTTATTTTCAATTCATGCAAATCCTGGTTTACCTTAGCCTGGGTGTTCCCAGGCTGCCTTGCGCGCGATTTGATTCACGCTGCTAAGGCAGCCTGGACACCATGGACTAAATTTTCCCCTGAAAAAGGGAACCAATCACAGAACGGGGAGGGATCAGCAAGACAATGACGACATCTATGCGACACATCGAAGAAGTTTCTATGGATCCAATGGCTCGTTTCCACTGAGGCGTACGGTACGGTACAGTACGGGTCGGGTCGGTACAGCATGATCCGGCTAGCGTTTCCACTGCCAACAGTACCCTTACTTGATAGGCGTGGTGTTTGAAAGAAGCGATCGACGTCATTTTCGCGTGAAGAAAGCGACATAGTAAACAACAATGGATGACAGACAGCAGATCTTGTTCTTGCTTCTCGGCATGTTTGTCACAAGAAACAAGCGCCGGCATTAGGCGTTTCTCAATACCAAGTAGCCACGCAAAGTCCGACTCAGGAGAATGATCCCGAGGACGCGAGTCCAGTAATGGAAAAGCGCGTTCTTGAATGCGCCACTCAGCTCGCTCTGCTACTCCGGTTATGTACATTTTAGGCAACAATAAAACGAAATATGTTATAAAACACCACTCTGCTTCTTTTCGATTTAATTTAAATACATTTTAAACATTATAAGCACACAAATGTGGTTCAGGCAACGCATAGCCTATTGATTATATTCACTGCATGTATGTAACGTTATATTTATAACAAAACTAAATATAAAACACAACCCTGCCTCTTTTCGTTTAAATGTAAAAATATTAAACATATTCCAGGCAATGTATTGCATATTGCATTGGTACAAATGTTGCAATAAACAACCTTACAGATGATCTTGTAATAAAATAAAAAAATGACAAAAACCTAACTATTTTTGTTGAATTTCAGTTTTATCAATAATAGCCATTATAAAAGTAAAAGGTTCAAAAAGATGTACAGTAAAGCTTTAATAACAAAGCAAACAATTCAGTCAAATATACAAATTCAGCGCTCAAATATATGAAACTTCACCAAGCCTTCTGCCAAAACTATTGGCCAGGGAACGAATTATAGATTCACAAGACCAAAGATCGCCTGTTAGGTCTGTACAAGACGAATTATATCTCATGTTTAACCACTACAGAGACGTCAGAGTCAGCGGCAAACATCAGAATGACTAGCCGGGGAAAGGTTGTTCCAGGCGGGGTGCACGAGCGCCGAGCGTCCGGTGATTGCTTGGAATGGATCTTCAAATTTTCATAAATCTAAAAATAAACCACAGATTTGAGCTTTAAAAAACTACTTTCTCGCCTGAAAAACTCTTAAAACTACATTTCGTGACACAATAACAGTAGTATTATATTTCAACTGTATGCTTCTAATGCCCTTGTAGCACGCGCAAGTGACGATACTCTGTCAACCAATCACCGTTCTGCAGTGAGTCTAGCTCCACCTTTTAGTACCGTACCACTGTGCTAGGTACCCCAACGGAAGGGTACCCAAAAAGTGGTACAGTAAGGTTCGGCTTTTTGGTACCATTCACAACTTTTGACAGTGGAAACGCAAATAATTGCGTACCGAACCGAACTGTACCGTACCGTACCACTCAGTGGAAACGAGCCACAAGATGGCATCAGACGCGAAATTACCTTTCGATGCAGCTTTAGATAGTGTTTTAAGTAGTTTAGAACGCAAGTTAGTTTTGAAAAAAGAGCAACTGTTAAACAATTTCATAAGCAAGAGCATTTGATAGACATTGGTAGCGCCCAATAAACGGCTCTGGGCATTCGTAAACCACGCCTCAAATACGAGAAAATGAACCGCTGGTTCCCAGACCAAGTCTCGAATGAGAATTGGTCTGACGTTAGCCAGGCTAGGTTTACCTGCTACATTTTGTAGAACAGAAAATATTTTACCTAAGTTCTGTCAACGTACAATTCACGAGTTCACATCTACATATAATTATTATGGTAAAGGTTATGCGTACTTGGCGTGCTGTCCGGGTGGAGGGCTCCGAGCTCGGAATTCTGCCCGAACCCAGAGTACTCCCCCCGTTGGTAAGAGTAGATGGAACTAGAGATGGAACTAAAAGTGAGGAGATGGGGTGGAGGTGGGATGCTGATAAACTGTCAAGGAACAGAGGATGGTTCTGCTGTTATTTATCTTGTCCTGAGTTGATTACTGATTGATCTCCACTTGTGCTGATTGGGTTAATTATCTGCACCTGCTCCTCCCGAACCTTGTTAATAAAACATCATTTCACGAGTTCACATCTACATATAATTATTATGGTAAAGGTTATGCGTACTTGGCGTGCTGTCCGGGTGGAGGGCTCCGAGCTCGGAATTCTGCCCGAACCCAGAGTACTCCCCCCAAAAAGCATGGAGAGCAAAGGACAGCCGCCAGACTATAGACCCCCCAAAGACGCAGGGAATTTGGCAGGCTGGCTTTCAATAAGCTTGATCTCTTGACCGGGATATCTCTAGGTGTTAACTGGTGAGTCCCGTCGACCGATGGACAGGGAGTGGCAGGATTTGACAAAAACGGCTGACCGGGAGGGCCCGCGTAGCTTCAGACTTGGGTGACTCAAAAGGCGTCAGGAAATTCGGTTCTACCGGCCGCCTGCGAGGTGGAATGAATTTGACTATGCTGGCTGGGCGGGAAGATAGATATGTGTCAATTCCACTGAAAACCAATACTCGCTGGACAGAAAAAAGGAGGATACGTGCTGACCGCTTGAGAGACCGACTCGCTGGACGGAGGAATGGAAAGATAGATACGTGCTGTGTCCGCCGGGAGACAAATGCTCGCTGGACGAGAGAAAGTTACGGATAAGTACATAGTGCGTCCGCTGGGAGACCAAATGCTCGCTGGACGGGAGAGATTTAGAGAAAGTACATAGTATGTCCGCTGGGAGACTGATGCTCGCTGGACGGGAGA